ACAATAGCAAGCATGGTTGCCATATACAAGAGATTCCTAGGGAGTAGGGCTGAGTGGAAAGAAACTGTCCTCTAGTGCAAAACCGGCTCTGGGAGCAAAGAGAAGCAGAAATGAGTGACGGTGTGCACATGTGTGCACTCGTACCCGGAAAAGAAGCAGCTCTGAATCGTTTCCTTTTTAGGCTTGTTTCCCTCAGGGTGCACACAGCCTCCCGGAGATGACGAAGTGACGGATGCTTTCAGGACCTTTCAGCTCTGATTGCTGCACTCCAGGGTGAAGCCTGGTGGGCAGGAGTTCACTGGAACCTGCTTGTGTCTCAGAACAAACAAGGCTTTGGTGGACAGTGATGGGGAATGGGGCAATTCGTCCCAAGGAAGCATTGACAGAGTCACTCAAGTTTGTTTCATTGCCTTCCACCCTTTCCCCCACAATGCTACTTCATTCGTCCCCTCTCCGCTTGGCAGGCTGGTCTGAAGTCACGATACAGGATGATGAGTCCCTGTGTGGTTTCATTCAGGGAAACACAGAGAAAGTCCCACTCACATTTTGAGGAAGCATGACATCTGTCTGTCCGAGCAGGAAAATACAACAGAAGACAAGTGACCTTAACTGACCTTGCTGTGTGCCAGGCGTGCCATGTACAGTTTCTCATCCTAGCCATCCAACTGCCTTAGGTGAATGAAACTATTATCTGCCTTTCTCAGATGAGGACATGGGTTGCAAAGCTAATAGAAAATGAAGGTTTCTGGTTGGGCCTGGTGGCTCACGTCTGTAAGCCCAGCACTTTAGGAGGCTGAGGCAGGAGGATCACTTGAGCCCAGGAGTTTGAGACCAGACTGGGCAACACAGTGAGACCCTATCTTTTTTTTTTTTTTGAGTTGGAGTCTCACTCTGTCGCCCAGACTAGGGTGCAGTGGCATTCTCACGGGCCTCCGCAGCCTCATCCTGCTGGGCTCAGGTGATCCTTCCGCCTCAGCCTTCCAAGTAACTGGAACTACAGGCGCGCACTACCACGCCCAGCTAATTTTTTGATTTATTGTAGAGACGAGGTCTCACCAAGTTGCCCAGGCTTGTCTTGAACCCCTGGGTTCAGGCAATCCTCTAGCCTCAGCCTCCCAAAGTGCTGGGATTACAGTCTTTTTTTTTTTTTTTTGAGTTGGAGTCTCACTCTGTCACCCAGACTGGAGGGCAGTGGCTGCTCCCGGCCACCGCAGCCTCGACCCGCTGGGCTCTGGCGATCCTTCCACCTCAGCCTTCCAAGTAGCTGGAATTACAGGTATGCGCTACCACGCCTGGCTGATTTTTAGGTTTACTGTAGAGATGAGGTCTCGCTGCCCAGGCGGGTCTTGAACCTGCGGGCTCAGGCAATCCACTCACCTCAGCCTCCCAAAGGCGCGGGATTACAGGCTGAGCCACCAAACCCAGCTGGGATTACAGTCTTGAGGCACCGCACTCGGCAGAGACCCTGTCTCTTAAAAAAAATGAGGCTTTTTAATGCCTGTATGCCTGACCTCAAAGCCCCCTACACTGAGAAATGGATATAGAGAAAGCACAGGGACCAACGTAAGTCAAGGAGGGACTCGGCTTGCAGTGTGGCCATGACACTGTCCTAATGGGTCAAGAACACAAGTTGCTTTTCCTCTAGATTCATCCCTGCCCTTTGTCAGGAATCTAGGACCTTTTGCTTCTCTCTGCAGTGTTCTTGCCAGTCTAGGATTCACTAGATTTTGCCCTTTTATACTTTAGTTTGGATGTGTGAGCATCTACAGGGCAGAGGGGACTGTGCCCGGATTTTGTTGGCACTGGCATCCACGGCCTCCTTTCTTCCCTCCCCGCTGAGGGCTACAAACTGGCTTGACAAAGCCTAACTTGACCCTCTGCCCTGTTCCCCATTTCCAACAGAGTCCTGGTGGGTTTGGCTGGGCTAGTCATCCACAGCCGTCAAGCTCTTTGGAGCAAGCAGTGCGCTCTCTTTGAGCATATGGGTCTGTTATTCAAGGGCCCTCTGGCTGGGGACAGAGGCATGGGGCGTGGGGGGCATATGGAAACCATGTAGCACCAAGGCCTGCACTGACGCACATTGTTTTCCCATTGAATACCACCACTACTTACCAACAGTTCCCACTCGTGGAGTGCTTATTATGGGCTTGGTGCCTTCTCACTTAACTCTTATTAGCTTCATTTTTACAGAGGTGCATTTTGAGGTAGAAAAGCTAAGAGCCATGACCAAACTTACCTAGCTGATAGGCATGGAGTTGAGAGTTCCACTTCAAATCCTGTTCCAACCCTTGTTATCCAACTTTGACTTTTCTAATTCTAGACTCAAGTTTTTTTTTTTTTTAGCAATCTCTAAGAAGAATGGGTTGCAATTTAAGAGCATGGGAACGAAAATATTTGCAAGGAGCCGGGCTTGGTGGCTCAGCCTGTAATCCCGCGCCTTTGGGAGGCTGAGGTGAGTGGATTGCCTGAACCCGCGGGCTTGAGACCCACCTGGGCAACTTGGCGAGACCTTATCTCTACAATATATCAAAAAACTATTAGCCGGGCGTGGTAGCACGCGCCTGTAGTTCCAGCTACTTGGAAGGCTGAGGCGGAAGGATCGCCGGAGCCCTAGGAGGTCGAGGCTGTGGTGCCCGGGAGCGGCCACTGCACTCCAGTCTGGGCGACAAAGTGAGACTCTAACTCAAAAAAAAAAAAAAAAAAAAAAGAATTAAATTCACACATGCTAGCATTTCTACAAAGGAAATTCACAAATGGGTGGAGATTACAATAATTCCCATTCGTGTGTGGTAAGTTTATTTTGATCAATTATAGATGATCAGTCTATTTTATATACACTTATCGATATGAGTAAATAAGTGTTTTTGTAAGTTTTGCATGATGACAATATTAAGCTCTGATCATGTTTTTTTCCATCTCTGATTGCATGGGACCTAATTCTAACCCCAAGCAAGTGAAAAGGGACATTTTTCCCTATCAACTTTGGAAAAGAGTTCACCCTGAGTTTTCTGGTGCCTATCTCAACCTTGAAAAGAGTCCTTAAAAACAACTCTGTTACCAAAATTTGTAACGTGCTCTTTTTACCTCCCTGTTTCCTTGCCAGAGACATTCTTTTTGCTGATAAATCTCACTCCACCTCTTTCTTCTGCTTCCCTAAGAGAACATAAACACCTGGCATTTCTCTACACTTGGACATTCCCCTAAAAATTAAACCAAAAAGGAACAGACAGAGCAGACTCTTAAGGCTCCACTGCCTGCTTTGTTTTATAATGGCTGCTCCCTCATTTCTCGGTCAAGTCAGGTACCACTGCTTGGGTGAGAAGTGTCTCCATCAGTCAGAAATTGATAGAGAACTGTGTAATAAAAGAGGGCTTTCAAACTAGGTTCCCTGAGATCCTTGGGAATCTGAGGGGATCCCTTGGAGGGTTGGGGGGGTGGCGACAGCTCTGGGTACATGTGTGTGAGGAGACAACGTCTGAGCTGGCGTCAGGTGGATTCAGGTCTGCTTTCCTATTGGACACCACGGAAGGTCGTGTTGGGATGAAAATGTTCGACAGCTGCAAAGAGTTTGAAAGCTGCTGAACATAGAATGGAAGCCCCTCTCCAAAGACTGGAACAGAACTGTTTGCTCTAAAACAACGGTAATATCCTGGCATTACAGTGAGAATTACAAAATGATCTTGCAAGGTGAAGCATGGCCGGGAAAGTGGCATGTCGACAGTGGCAGTGACACGGTGATAGTTAGGATGACGCAAGCGTTGGGGGTGGCGATTCCATCTGACCGCATCCTTCTGAGTGCCTGAGGCTGAGCTAACCATAGAGGGACTCTGGCTGTCAAACTGGGTCAGGCTTGCACCACCACGGAAGGCGTAAGGGTGAGAGCCTGGTAGATCAGGAACGACTGCCATCAAATATTTGTTTCTGCTTTAAAAATCATCTCCCTCCCCCTCTTTATAACTATGTTCTCTTGAAGTCTACTTGCATATTGGGCAACTAGCCTTTGAGAGTCACATCATACGTGTGAAAATATCATCAGATAATACAATTTGATCTTCTCATAGAGTATTATTAATGTTCCCTTTTTATGAAAACTATGGATCTTTGAGTCTTACCTCATTTTCTAAACTCTAAATTCTCGACAAGCAGGGTCTAGTTTCATTCAATCTCTGTACACCTGCCTGAGAGCACCTAACATGGAATCTTGCTTATAGAGCCAACACACAAGAAAATATTTTTGAATAAATGAGTTCCATCCCATTATCTGGAAATTGATCTGCTGCCCATCAAAACAGACATGCATGGAGTTTAAGTTACTCTCAATCCAATGGGTTTTAATTCTGTTTTCTACTCTTTCCTGTCTGTCCAGTCGGTATCACCTAATAAAACTCCAAACAGGTGGCTCAGAAGAGCCGCTTTCTTGATGTAAAGACATATATAAGGACAAACTACCTCTACCATGCCAGTTACCCCTTCATCCTGATCATAGAAAAGCTGTGGAGAAAAAGCAAAAAATTCACAAAATGTGGCAAATGGGCTCACACGGGGCAGTGAGCTGAGGTGCACCGACTACCCATTCACCCAGGTTTCCCCACTCCACTCCGGGAATCTTCAACTAATAGAAAATCCCAGGAAACCAGGAAGTCACCTGGTAGCTGATGTGTCGCCCTGCCAGGTATTTATTTATTTCCAGTTTACTCTTGCTCTGTGAATACACACACTATCTGATATAAGGTCTGCTAGTTGGCTACGAAGCTGGCTGCTCCTGATGGCAGTGATGATGACAGTGATCATGACAATGATGACAGCAGTAAAATCTGTTGAACACTACGTGGCAGGCACTGGGCCGAACCCCTATGCGCATAATCTCATTTAAACTTCACTACTAATACTATTATGACTTCCATTTAACACACAATCAAACCACACACCGCAGACCCAGTAAGGTAAAGTTATTTGACCAAGGAAGGACTCGGGACCTCTGTCGCCAGGGCAGTACTTACCTGGGAAGGATAGGGTTAGGTGGCCTGGATTTTGCAGGGGATGCAACTTTCGGTTCTGGCCCAGAGCTCCCTGAAGATCCTGGCAGAGAATCCTGCGCCGGCCCGGATTGGTTTGGAAGTATGTCCCTTGTTGAAGTCAGGAGATGCTCTTTATCTTTAACTTCTTTTTCCCGGGACTTGGCTTTGTGTTCCGCCAGGAGGAGGTCAAATTGCTTTTTCCGGCCTGGGACTGCCCTCCGATGGCTTAGCGAATGTGTCTAAGGAGAAGAGAGATGAAAAGCACAGCCTCTTTGATCAGCACATAAACCTGCTTCCCCAGGTCCTCCATTTCAGAAATAGCAATTCAGGGGAATTTAGAGGTGCTTGAAAAGTCAACTTCAAGGCAACAGCTCCTGTTCTGTGTCTAGGAAGAGGCAGAGACCACACCAACGCGACCATGCCCTACACTCCTGGTGTTAAGAAGCCAAAGCTTCCTCCCAAAAATGGCAAAGGATGACGAGCTTCAGCGCAGAACCCATGAAAACCTCTCTGATGAAAGGCAACTGCGAGGGAATGCTAGAGTTAATCCAGGTGCAGGTGAGAGGCTCGATTCGGCCCAGACAAACAGAGCCACCAAGCAGAGAGGGCCATAGCCTCGGTCCCAAGAAGCACTAGCAGTTCAGGATGAAATATGGGGCTTTGGGCTACCCAATGGCGGCCGCCTGGGTCAGCTGCTCCCCTGGCCACCCCGGTGTGGCTGGATCAGGGGCGCGGCATATCATCCTCCCCTTCAGGGCTGCCTTTCAGGGCGCTGCCGCGCCGCCGCCGCTGCTCCTGCATACATTAAAACGTAGCAGGCTTTAGAACCGCCTGTGAGTGCCTATAAATACAATTTACTGTCTGGCCTCACAAGTAACAGGGGAAGCCTAGTTTTTTTTTTTTTCCTTCTTAAAAAGCCAGCCAGCTTGAGGCAGGCACTCTGCTACCATGGACGAGAAGAAAGCATTTCCCTTACAAAGAACAGCTGGGGGTCATGTCGAGGTTCCACACCCTGCTGTGTGCAGAGAGTGGCATGCAAACATTTCGACAAAGGCCCCAGCGAGAGCAGGAAGTATTTTTTATGGAAAGAGAAATACCTTGCAGGTGAGGGATCTTGTGCAAGGTTTCTTTGTCTCGGGATCCAATACTCCACAGTGTTTATTTGGGTCAAATTCTCTCTCTGGTTTAAGAAACAAACAAAAAATATAAGAAAAAAGGAGACTAAATAGGATTTGGCATTAAGACTACATTTTTTAAAAAATGCACATTTGCACCAACAAGTGAGACATTGTTAGGCAATCTGTTTTTTGTTTTTTTGTTTTCAACCAGCTGCTAAAATGCTTCAAGAACCGCTCGGGAGGGAAATGGCACTCCCCTCTGAACCCAGAGTTCCCAAGTCCAGCTTTGGTAGGGGTGCCAAACACAACACCAGGGCGTGGGGAATAGGTGGGAACGGGCACCGGAAGGGAAGGAAGGAGCCCTGAGGCTCTTAATGCTTTATTTTGCTTGACATGGCTCCACAGGTCCTTGGCATTTGGGCATAACTGGCTGCAGACCAGGGAGAGACACCTGAGACCCAAGGGCCAGTTCTCCCAGGCTGCTCTGAGAGTACATACGCCCCTGCTCTCACCCCTTGCCTGCCTGCTGGTTTCAGCCATTTAAGTGGGAGATTATTCCCTGACATGTCAGTGTGACCTGCCTCTCTCATGCTTTCCAAAGCCCTCAGCACAGGCTTTCACATGGCCTCGCTGACCACAACAATCGTTTACCTGATTTAGGAGCATTCTGGCAGTGTGCAGGGGAGAAATCTGAACGTGAAGGTGCAGAGAGGGCAGGGTCTGCTGATCGCATAGCTGCTTCCCACCCCCACTGCCCTGGGCCTGCCGCTCCGTGTGGGAATGACACAGGGAAGGCTGCCCCCTTGGGATGAAGGATGGTGTACAGAGAGGCCAGGCTTCCCCAGATTCTGCCTCTCAGCAGGACTACGGATGGCTCGTGTGGAGGTTACTTCTAAGGAACCTGCTTTTCCTAGGCCCATCTCGGATCCTTCTCCCCCTCTGGGATGACAAACATGGTCTCCTCACCTGGAAAATGAGGGAGCGTGAGGCCATTTCTTAAGGATCCTTTAGGTTCTAAAATTCCACCTCTCAGATGGTCTGTGCCGTTTCTGGAGGGCACCAAGCAAACACCTGGGTCCTGACAGCAGGGACAGCACAGTTCTCTGGGCGTGTGGGGAGACTGGGAACAGTGTTGGTGGTGGTGAGGGGTACACAGAAACTTGGTGGTGCGTCCTTAAGAGCCTTGAATGGCTGCAAACTCAAAAGAGGTGACCTAGCTGGAAAACGGTCCGAAATTGGTGAACTCAGCTCTGAGCATCATAAATGAATGTGTTCTATATTCAAAAGAAGGTTCGGGGGTCATGGGGAGGTTGTAATGGTGATGTGGATGATGTGTGCAAGCAAACCACTCTTATGCCCAAGACAGAGTCCCTGGCTGGCTATCAAAATGCCTCCCTCTCCCTTTTTTCTAAAGCCTCACTTTTAAGGAAAGAAAACTGCTAGGCCTGGAGATGTTTGTTTCCTCCGAGCCCTCTCTGCCCAGCAAGAAGGGAGTCTGAGAGCCAGGCCTCAACCTGCCTGGTGTGGTGTCTGTCAGAGTCAGGTCCGTGCCCAGACCCACACCAGCACCTCACGTAGGACTGAGCTGAGCGGGTTGTTGGCTGGGGAAGGAGCTGGCTGCCAAAAGGGAAAGCAAGGCAGAAATAAGCAGAAGACCCAGTGAGACAAGACAACCCACAAGAGGCAAAAACAACAAGCAGCAAAAAAATCCCCAAACAACTTTGGATGGGGGTGCAGGCTGGAAGCCCAGGTCAAGCTTCTGCTACGACAAGGACCCCCTTGGCCTCTGGACACCGTGCCCAGGCTATTGGCTTTCCGGGGATGTTGCCACCACCTCTGCAGGGTGAAACTGAGCTTTCCACCCAGAAAGAGAGACAGGGGCTCCAGCCCAGAAAGGGAGGTTCCCGCAATGCTCACAGAGCACCAGGCTCTGCCTTTCTCTCTTGACACTGGGTGAACAGTACATAGATTTGCAGGGTACAATACCTGTTTCATTTGAATGCTTTGGGCCTGAAGTACTTCTAAGACATACTATTATAAAGAGATATAGATGAAAAACAGAAAAACTAGAAATACAGATAAACACGAAGTAGAAAGCAAAAATTACCCACAATTCCTTGGTTGCTTAAAAATCACGTTCATACTAGAGGACAGTTTCTCTCTCATAGGGTGACTTTCACTGTATTTCATTTTTTTTTCCTGGCCACTATCAGCGAGTACCCACAGCATGTGAAGTTATGAAGTTTAAAGCTTCTCTTGGACGTTTGAAGCTGGGCACAGTGGCTCATGCCTGTAATCCCAGCACTTTGGGAGGCAGAGGCTAGAGGACTGCCTAAGCCCAGGGGTTTGAGATCAGCCTGGGCAGCTTGGTGAGACCTTTTCTTTACAATAAATTCTAAAACTTGGCCAGGTGTGGTGGTGTGCACCTGTAGACCCAGCTACTTGGAAGACTGAGGAGGAAGGACTGCCTGAGCCTAGCAGGTTGAGGTTGGGTAGCTGTGAGGGTGCCACTGCACTCCAGCCTGGGCAACAGAGTGAGACTCCAACTAAAAAAAAAAAAAAAAAAAAAAGCTTTTCCTGGATTTTTGGAGAAAGCAAAACTGCCAGGTTTAGTTTCACAACTCAAACATCATCCACATGGGGACCTCTAAGAGGGCAACTATCATCTCAAAGAATGGCCACATGCACCTTTCTAGGCATCCTGAGTACCTTGCTCAGACAACCAAGTAGTAGACCCAAGAGAGATCTCCCCAGATCCTATCTGCTCTGCCAGTCCTAGCATTCCCAATTGGGAATTCTAACCTGATTATGAGAGAAAGACAGTTGTAGCCTCAACAGCAGAAGCAACCTGGAAACCCATGAGGCCAAAGGACAGAGGCTGTGTGTCCCTGTGCAGCATAGCTGCTCAAGGCATGTCCCTGACATGCCTTGAGCCACTATGAAATATCCCTGTGGGTTGTCCAGTGTCACAGTAGTGAAGCTTCTATGGAAGCTAGGACTAGTCCAACCTGTCAGCATGACACGGCAGCACAGAACCACCTGCTAACAAGACCCTTGGAGTCCACAGACAGAGGTCAGTGCAGAGCATCCTGCCTTCGTGGTTGCTGAGGAAACTACCACTAAGCACTGAACCAAGAGAGGGACTTCACTGCCCGGGGAATAAGAGACCCGATTCTCCCTGTCATTTTTAGGTGAGAGTTCTGTTTGTAGGTAAACCTCATGTCCCCCTTAAAATGAAACAGACCTGCTTAATTACAAGAACACATCACTTCTGGGTTACAGATGTGACTCACTTTCAGTCTAATCATGAGTCAGACTCTAATGACACTGACACATACCTGAAAGTCTCCTGTAAGGCTTGTTGCTGTTTTTGGTGCCATTTTGGTGTTTCTTGTCTATGGTGGCTGAGAGAATTCCTTTGCCATTTAAGATCTTCTCTGGTGAAGGTGGCACTGACTTGGACATCAGGACTGGCTTAATTAAAGGAGGGGTGGCGATGGCACAGGACGAGGTGGAGGCGACGGCGACTGCAGTAGTGGTTGTGGAGTTCATTTTGACATTGGCACCATCTGCCTTCACTAGGTTAGGAATTTTCTCTAAACTGACTACAGGAACCGGAACGCTGAAAAATAAACGAACAAACACACACAATTGCCTTTTTTGATACAGTTGGTCTGCTGGGGAGCCATACCCACTTATCACAATCAGAACACCTCCTTATCACTTATTGATATTCCTTTTCTAAGCAAGCAGCATGGGTCCAGTTTTAATGGGAGAACTCTGTGCCCTGGAAAAGATCAACAGGGGGTGCGAGGCTGGCACAGTGCCAGGGGTGGTATCAGAGCAGACCGATCACCTCCCATGCTGGGCTGTCCCCACAGATCCTGCAGCTCGCGCTTCCCCAGGCCCTATACATTGGCCATTTCCAACACAGCACCTCGGGCAGAACAAGGTGCCCGCTGTGAAGCTCAGAGAGAGAGAAAGAGAGAAAGAGATTCCGTTTGTCCCCTGATGACAGTGTGTGCCACTGCTGAATCACGTCCCCTCCCCCCACCTCTCCGCTAGTCCCCCCAGCCCGGCCCGTTCGGGCCTGACATCTGCTTAGCTGCGGAGCGCTGACAGGATCACACCACAAGGAGGCATGGCTGCAGGCCAGCGTGCCGCACTGCATGCTGTCGGACGGCTTCTGGATCACTCTCATATCCTGGGGATGGGCTCAAATGGAGTGAGCCGCCATGTAGCATTATCCAATATTCCATTTTAGGCAGCTAGTTATGTAAATAGGCAGTTCTCTAGGCTGGCAGGTGAGAGGATGAATTTTAAGAAGGCAGAGCACAAAGGTGTTCATTCACTCTTCAGAATCTGTCACCTTAGCCCCCTTCCCCGCTATTCCTCCTGTAACGGATGTGCATTTTGATTTCTGCAGTTCTTTCATGCTGGAGGACCCATGTCTGGGGGGCTGTGGAGGACTCTGTCTCGGGGTCTTAAAAGATGAGACGAATAAGCTTTGATTTGGTTCCTGAGCCGGATTCCCTTTCTCCTGGCAGGAGGGTAGAGAATGCTAACGCCATGGCTCCCCCATCGCCTTTGAGCTGAGAGTGAAGCCTACTTAGTTATTTGAATGCCAAATGATCTAGAATATGGCTCTTACATGCCTGCAGACAATGTAGGGCATGGAAGAGGGACTGTTGTTGGCAGGGAAGGAATCTTATCTGTTCACGTGGCTGGCTAGCTCTCCCTTCTCTAAGATTCATTCACAGACCATTTGTTTGATCAACTTGTTCGTGAAATTATCTTAGCACCTTCTCAGCCCCTGCCCTTCTTAAATGACTTTGAGACAGGATCACAGATGTTTGTCACAGATCTTTGCCAGTGAAAAGGGCACAGAGTGGAGGAGCAGATTGTGGCTGGACGTTACGGACTTCTCCTCTGGATTGCGTACCTTCTTGGCCTGGGGAAGGGTGGTGTCCCATGTGAGAGGAAGGTAGAATGATGGCTTTTAGTGACACATTGTGCCACTGCCAAGTCTGTTCTTGATCAGAGTCTCGATCTTTGAGATAGAGTTGAACTGCTGCTACTTTTTATTTAATGGCAATTCTCAAAGCGCTCACATATCGCTGAAGAACAGCACAAAGAGCCCTTGGAGGGTGAGCACACTAGGAAACTACACAGATATCACCTGGTAAAATCAATGCTGTATTCCTGAGTTTTTTCCAAATGACTAAAAACGCAAAACTATGTGATATAGAATTCTTCTAGGCTCATTCCTTGATACAATTAAAAAACAACAACAACACAAGCTATAGTAATCAGGGTCTTGAAGAGATATCTGTAACACCCATGTTCATAACAACATTTGCAAGAACCCAAAGGTGGAGCAACCCAAGTGTCCATCAGTGGATGAATGGACAAGAAAAATGTGGTTTAAAAAGAAAGGAGAGCCGGGCTCGGTGGCTCAGCCTATAATCCTGTGCCTTGGGAAGCTGAGGTGAGTGAATTGCCTGAGTCTGTGGGTTCGAGACTCGTCCGGGCAACTTGTCGAGACCTCATCTCTACAATAAATCAAAAAATTAGCTGGGTGTGGTAGCACGCGCCTGTAGTTCCAGCTACTTGGAAGGCTGAGGTGGAAGGATTGCCAGAGCCCAGCAGGTCAAAGCTGCGGTGGCCGGGATGGCCACTGCACTCCAGTCTGGGCAACAGAGTGAGACTCCAACTCAAAAAAAAAAAAAAAAAAAAAAAAAAAAAAGGAAGGAGGTTGGGCGTGACTCACACCTATAATCCCAGCACTTTGGGAGGACCAAGGTAGGAGGATCACTTGAGGCCAGGAGGTTCAAGCCTACGCAATATAGTGAGACCCCATCTGTAATTTAAAAAAAAAAAGGAAGGAAGGAAGGAAATTCTGACACATGCATGAACCTTGAGGACATTATGCTAAGTAAAATAAATCAGTCACAAAAGATCAATACTATATGATTCCACTTATCTGGAGTAGTCAAATTCATAGAGACAGAAAATAGAACAGTGGTTGCTGGGGATGGGGAAGAGGAGAATGAACAATGTTTAATAAGTTTCAGTTCTGCAAGAGGAAAACATTTCTAAAGATTGGTTGCCCAATAATTTGAATGTATTTAATATTACTGAATTGTACACGGAAAATTGTATAAGGTGGTACATTTTATGTTATGTGTATTTTACCACAATTAAGACAAATTTAAAAGTACACACTAAAGCCGGGCGTGGTGGCTCAAGTCTGTAATCCCAGCACTTTGGGAGGCCAAGGCGAGAGGACTGCCTGAGTCCAGGGGTTCGAGACTAGTCTGGGCAACTTGGTAAGACTTTGTCTTTACAATAAGTAAAAAAATTAGCAGGGCATGGTGGTGCATGCCTGTGGTTCTAGCTACGTGGAAGGCTGAGGTGAAAGGATCACCTGAGCCTAGGAGGTCAAGGTTGCAATGGCAGTGTGCCACCACACTCTGGCCTGGGCTGCAGAGTGAGACTCCGACTCAAAAAAACAAAAAAAAAGTACACACACAAAAATGCAAATTACAAAACTCTCACCTAAATTATACTGCAATAAACCTGAATTTAAAAACACATATTATAAGAGTTTCTTTAAAGCTTTTACTGATTTAATGTCTTATCCTTTTTCTGATCTGTTGACTTTTATTTTTTGAGGGGAAAAAAAAAGCAAACTTCATTGTTATGAATATGTGGCCTACTAGCCGGGTGAGAAGGTGCTCAAACCTTCTCTAATATATTTCTCTGAGAAGTGGAGTTAGTTCAGGAAAGGAAATGAGGACTTTCAAGTTCCAGATCTAGCTGTGGTTGCATGAGCTAGTATGAGCAAGCATAAGGCTTCCAGTTCCCATGAAAGATGCCCTGCATACATGTTGAATACATAAGACCTCAGCAGACAAAGATATGATGCCTGAGAAAGAATAATCCAGAGGCACTGTACCGGTGAAAATAAATTAGGGCAACCTCTTCAGGTCCCCCCCCCCCACTGTGGCAGCTTTTCTATCTTCTCAATAAATCCTACTTTCTAAAAAAATAAATAAATAAAAAGAAAAGAAATTAGAAAACCAAGCCAAGTGCTCCTCAAATGCTCATGGTACAGTCTGTGCTTCTCCACTAAAGTCAACATCTGGCTCTGAATGTGCTCCTTAGGGCAGCCACATGAGCACAGGTGCCCTAGGCCCTGACATCCAGGACTGTGCCAGTTGACTCATCTCCTTGTGGTGACACTTCTTCCCAACTGTGTGTAACTAAGCTTGAGCCAGGCCAGTTAATATTCATGACTGATCCCATGTGGAATTTTTTGCACTATATGAGTATGCTCCATTCATACCCCATACTGTCAACATTTCCAGAACTCAGCTGGATGCGGAGTTACAGTCCATCAGAAGCAGGCAAGAGAAGCTGATGTGCAATCCCCTGGACTGAAGAATGGATGGTATTGGTGGAGAAAGTCTGATTCAGAATGTTTCAAAGATTCCCAAGACTGGGTGAGTCGCTAAAAAGCTGAGGCATTGAGTGAACACCCCTGATGGTGGGTGAGTGGGCCACACCTTGGTGGAGGAAGAGAAAAGAGATTGGGAGCTGCCCCTGATATTTTTTTCTTTGGTCTTGCTCTCTTTCTCTAAAGCTGTGAGCCCTCTTGAAGGTCACCTGCCCTGGGCCTGGACTAGCAAGGGCAGTTAAGAAAAGACAGAGCTGGGCACGGTGGCTCATGCCCATAATTCCAGCACTTTGGGAGGCTGAGGTGGGAGGACTGCCTGAGCTCATGGGTTCGAGACCAGCCTGGGCAACTTGGTGAGACCTCATCTCTAGAATACATAAAAAAATTAGCCAGGTGTGGTAGCACGCACCTGTAGCTCCAGCTACTTGAAAGGCTGAGGTGGAAAGATTGCCTGAGCCCAGCAGGTCGAGGCTGCGGTGGCTGCGAGTGTGCCACTGTCCTTCAGCCTAGACAATAGAGTGAGACTCCAATTCCAAAAAAAAAAAAAAGAGAAGACAGAGCGGGCCAAACACATCCCCAGAGGAAGTGACGGGGGTGGGCGGGGAGAAAAACCATTCCTATTTGATCTTGCCCTCCTCATCCCCCAGTATAAACGCTAGCAGTCAGTCCACCTGAGCTTATCTCCTTTCTTCACTGCTACTGGCGACAGCCCTGAGATCCTATACCAATGAGCCAGGGAGGAAATGATTGCAAGGTAGTGCCACACAATTTGGAAAACCAATCCTGGAGATTCAGTCCTTCCTAAGAAAAAATATCCGGCTGACATAAGAACCTATGAAGAATCCGCACCTCCACTTCACTGACATAGATCCCTGCGTGTGTCTGTTCTCCAGCTCCAGCGAGACAGTGCGGCTACTGGGCAGTTGCCATCTCGGAACTGTCTTCTGCTTTCTCTCATTGTCCCTGTGCACATCCCCCTCACTTTCTCTGCTATTACCTTCTCCAGCCAGTAAAGTGTCCCAGTCTTGGGCAGGTGAGAGCCCCTTCCAGATGGCAGTGGACCCTGAAGGATAGGTTTAATTTTTTTCCATTGGAAAGAAGCCAACAGATTCTGACCTCTGCTTTCACATATGGGCATCTCCCATCTTTTCTGTGTCTAATCA